CAAAAAAGGAAATGTATGAGAGTATAGTGGTACCAACATTCTTATATGGGTGTGAAGCTTGGGTTGTAAATGCTGCAGCGAGGAGGTGGCTGGAGGCAGTAGAGATGTCGTGTCTAAGGGCAATGTGTGGTGTAAATATCATGCAGAGAATTCGTAGTGTGGAAGTTAGGAGGTGTGGAGTTACTAAAAGTATTAGTCAAGGGGGCTCAAGAGGGCCTGTTGAGGTGGTTTGGTCATTTAGAGAGAATGAAAAAGTAGAACGACTTGGAGAGCTTATAAATCTGTAGAGGAAGATGGAGTACGGGGTTGTCCCCGAAAGGGTTGGAGGAAGGGGATATAGGACGTTTTGTTGGTGAAGGGCTTGGATTTCCAGCAAGTGTGCGTGAACGTGTTAGATAGGAGTGAATGGATACAAATGTTTTTGGGACCTGACGAACTGCTGGAGTTTGAGCAGGGTAACATTTTGTGAAGGGATTCAGAGAAACCAGTTAGCCGGACTTGAGTCCTGGAAATGGGAAGTACAATGCCTGCACTTTAAAGGAGGGATCTGGGATATTGTCAGTTTGGAGGGACATCTAAGCTGTCATATCTGAGCGCCTCTGCAGACAGTGATTATGATTGATGGTGAAAGTGTTGAATGATGATGAAAGTTTTTCTTTTTGTTTTTTGTCACCCTGCCTTGGTGCGACACGGCCGATGTATTAAAAAAAAAAAGAACCACAAATTAAAAGTTACAGCAATAAATAACATCACACTGGTGCCCCAAGACCTAGATAATACCAAAATAACCCACACATAGAGAAAGAAACTCATGATAATGTTTCAGTCCAAATTAGACCATTAACTAACAAGATAAATTAAGATTTTAAGCATACTAACACTCAATCTGAAGTCTGAAACGTTTATTAAGTTGAATCATGTTGTGAGCACAATGACAGATAAACACCAAGACTGTGATTCTAGCAGTTTGTCAATAAATAATAATGGTAATTGTGCCAAACTTTCTAACTACTTTTTGTACTTTTCATTTTGTATGTGGAGTATATTCCTGACTGCCAGATAAAACAAGTGTAAGAAATTAAACACAACATATACTGGGCTAACATATGATACAGTATATCAGATTATTTAATAACTGAAGCAACACTAAAAAATTAGCAGTTATCATTTATACCGGGTTGATAAAAAGGTAAACTAACAACCTGTGGTAAACACGAGAAAGAAGTCCTGGAATCACTTTGTCAAAATATTTTCTTTCACACTTGAATGTTTTGCCATGATCTCTCAGTAATAAGAATTTTATTTCCTCGTGATTGCTTTAAAAAGGAAAGTATCCATGCACCACCCAATATATCTGTTAACAACCCTGGATTATAATTTTACAACCATAATGGATATGAAAAATTATGTTGTATATTTAAAAATATCAAATGAATGTGTAGCCTTTTACCTATAATGTGGATAAAACTAAAAATTAAAAACTTAAAAAACAGCACTTCATCAACCGTGTACCAGTAGATGGATTCAAAACTGGTACAATCAATCTTGCTGCAAATCATTACCCTGCAAGTAAAAACTTCTAATGAAAAATTAAAGGATCAGTTAACCATTTAGTCACACTGTCAATATGAACAAGTAAAATTGAAGAACCACAGGATATTAAAAAGGGACAACCAGTAAACCATTTAGCTACAATGTCAACTTGAGCAGCTAAGACTTATGGCATGCAAACAAATTTGAAGTGCCATACATTGTCCTTACAAATATTTATATCAACCTATGGTATGATAAATACCTATGAGTAAAAATGAGAAGAATCTTTCTCAGGTTAAGATATGCTCTAGACAAATATTTAATGTCCTAAAAAAAAAATTAAATAGCAATTGGGATTTAAATGCCAATTATATACAAAGCAAAACCTACCATACTTTATAAACCCAGGTAGTTCTACATTAACATAAAACCTACCATACTTTATAAACCCAGGTAGTTTCTACATTAACATAAAACCTACCATACTTTATAAACCCAGGTAGTTCTACATTAACATAAAACCTACCATACTTTATAAACCCAGGTAGTTCTACATTAACATAAAACCTACCATACTTTATAAACCCAGGTAGTTCTACATTAACATAAAACCTACCATACTTTATAAACCCAGGTAGTTTCTACATTAACATAAAACCTACCATTACTTTATAAACCCAGGTAGTTCTACATTAACATAAAACCTACCATACTTTATAAACCCAGGTAGTTCTACATTAACATAAAACCTACCATACTTTATAAACCCAGGTAGTTCTACATTAACATAAAACCTACCATACTTTATAAACCCAGGTAGTTCTACATTAACATAAAACCTACCATACTTTATAAACCCAGGTAGTTCTACATTAACATAAAACCTACCATACTTTATAAACCCAGGTAGTTCTACATTAACATAAAACCTACCATACTTTATAAACCCAGTTAGTTCTACATTAACATAAAACCTACCATACTTTATAAACCCAGGTACTTCTACATTAACATAAAACCTACCATACTTTATAAACCCAGGTAGTTCTACATTAACATAAAACCTACCATACTTTATAAACCCAGGTAGTTCTTACATTAACATAAAACCTACCATACTTTATAAACCCAGGCAGTTCTACATTAACATAAAACCTACCATACTTTATAAACCCAGGTAGTTCTACATTAACATAAAACCTACCATACTTTATAAACCAGGTAGTTCTACATTAACATAAAACCTACCATACTTTATAAACCCAGGTAGTTCTACATTAACATAAAACCTACCATACTTTATAAACCCAGGTAGTTCTACATTAACATAAAACCTACCATACTTTATAAACCCAGGTAGTTCTACATTAACATAAAACCTACCATACTTTATAAACCCAGGTAGTTCTACATTAACATAAAACCTACCATACTTTATAAACCAGGTAGTTCTACATTAACATAAAACCTACCATACTTTTATAAACCCAGGTAGTTCTACATTAACATAAAACTACCATACTTTATAAACCCAGGTAGTTCTACATTAACATAAAACCTACCATACTTTATAAACCCAGGTACTTCTACATTAACATAAAACTACCATACTTTATAAACCCAGGTAGTTCTACATTAACATAAAACCTACCATACTTTATAAACCCAGGTACTTCTACATTAACATAAAACCTACCATACTTTATAAACCCAGGTAGTTCTACATTAACATAAAACCTACCATACTTTATAAACCCAGGTACTTCTACATTAACATAACCTACCATACTTTATAAACCCAGGTAGTTCTACATTACATAAAACCTACCATACTTTATAAACCCAGGTAGTTCTACATTAACATAAAACCTACCATACTTTATAAACCAGGTAGTTCTACATTAACATAAAACCTACCATACTTTATAAACCCAGGTAGTTCTACATTAACATAAAACCTACCATACTTTATAAAACCCAGGTAGTTCTACATTAACATAAAACCTACCATACTTTATAAACCAGGTAGTTCTACATTAACATAAAACCTACCATACTTTATAAACCCAGGTACTTCTACATTAACATAAAACCTACCATACTTTAAAAACCCAGTAGTTTCTACATTAACATAAAACCTACCATACTTTATAAACCCAGGTAGTTCTACATTAACATAAAACCTACCATACTTTTAAACCCAGGTAGTTCTACATTAACATAAAAACCTACCATACTTTATAAACCCAGGTAGTTCTACATTAACATAAAACCTACCATACTTTATAAACCCAGGTAGTTCTACATTAACATAAAACCTACCATACTTTATAAACCCAGGTAGTTCTACATTAACATAAAACCTACCATACTTTATAAACCCAGGTAGTTCTACATTAACATAAAACCTACCTACTTTATAAACCCAGGTAGTTCTACATTAACATAAAACCTACCATACTTTATAAACCCAGGTAGTTCTACATTAACATAAAACCTACCATACTTTATAAACCCAGGTAGTTCTACATTAACATAAAACCTACCATACTTTATAAACCCAGGTAGTTCTACATTAACATAAAAACCTACCATACTTTATAAACCAGGTAGTTCTACATTAACATAAAACCTACCATACTTTACAAACCCAGGTAGTTCTACATTAACATAAAACCTACCATACTTATAAACCCAGGTAGTTATACATTAACATAAAACCTACCATACTTTTTTAAACCCAGGTACTTCTACATTAACATAAAACCTACCATACTTTATAAACCCAGGTAGTTCTACATTAACATAAAACCTACCATACTTTATAAACCCAGGTACTTCTACATTAACATAAAACCTACCATACTTTATAAACCCAGGTAGTTCTACATTAACATAAAACCTACCATACTTTATAAACCCAGGTAGTTCTACATTAACATAAAACCTACCATACTTTATAAACCCAGGTAGTTCTACATTAACATAAAACCTACCATACTTTATAAACCCAGGTAGTTCTACATTAACATAAAACCTACCATACTTTATAAAACCCAGGTAGTTCTACATTAACATAAAACCTACCATACTTTATAAACCCAGGTAGTTCTACATTAACATAAAACCTACCATACTTTATAAACCCAGGTAGTTCTACATTAACATAAAACCTACCATACTTTATAAACCCAGGTAGTTCTACATTAACATAAAACCTACCATACTTTATAAACCCAGGTAGTTCTACATTAACATAAAACCTACCATACTTTATAAACCCAGGTAGTTCTACATTAACATAAAACCTACCATACTTTATAAACCCAGGTAGTTCTACATTAACATAAAACCTACCATACTTTATAAACCCAGGTAGTTCTACATTAACATAAAACCTACCATACTTTATAAACCCAGGTAGTTCTACATTAACATAAAACCTACCATACTTTATAAACCCAGGTAGTTCTACATTAACATAAAACCTACCATACTTTATAAACCCAGGTAGTTCTACATTAACATGCAGTAGCTTTTCCTACTTTGTGGTGATAAGGTCTCACTGTCACTCATAGTTTTTACTGCATTGTAATCGTCTGAAATAAAAGTGGTAGAAGACTCGACATATATGTCTGTTTCTGACTCCATAGATGTGTCTTCTCCTGACTCTACCGAAGTGTCTGCTCTTGACTCTACTGAAGTGTCTGCTCTTGACTCTACTGAAGTGTCTGCTCTTGACTCTACCGAAGTGTCTGCTCTTGACTCTACTGAAGTGTCTGCTCTTGACTCTACTGAAGTGTCTGCTCTTGACTCTACTGAAGTGTTCACTTCAGACTCAATGCATGTGTATGCTGCAGACTTCTTGTTTGAGTCTTTCACAATGGTATCTACTGTTAAACAATCTAATCTCAAGTCCTCTTCAATTGGCGTGCTGCTTCGAGGAGTTGCTGGGCAAAGAGTGCGCTGACAAGACGCTTTGCCTATGTTCTCGGATGATTCCACATTTCTGAAAATACAGTTAAATGAAATAGATTTTATGACTAGCATAATATGCCACATCAAAAACTTATCAAGGTAGACTCCAGATTTGTATTCATGTACTCGCCTATTTGTGCCTGAAGAGGTCAAGTCTTAGTTCTTGGCCCTGCCTCTCAACTTGATTCCTGCCAGATTCTCTCTCTCCTTGCTTTGTGGGCTATATTGTACCTATTCTTAAAACTATATATACTGTCAAATTATAAAAATGTACATTCATTCCATGAGTTTTTTTAAATCATCCTCAACAGGAAGTATTTTACCGAGTGTGCCAGTTTAGGGGATAACCACTTTTAGTAACCTATTCCATACATTTACAACACAGCTACATCATGCGCCTTTTCTAAATTAATATGCAAGAAAATTTCCTTACCTTCATCTAAGCATTGTTCATTCATATGCTTCAATATAACCACTTAAACTACACATCCCTTACCCTTCCTAAATCCTTCTTGTTCCACTGCAATCCTACTTTGTCTTACCTTTAACTCTTTGAATAATTCTATCATACATAATATACTAACTGTTGTAAAGTAAAATCTTAGCCTATTTAATTCAAGTGAGTTATTGTTAGGTTCATTAAAAATATGTTAGTTGCCTTGGCTAGGCATGTTAGGATTCTTTTTTTTTTTTTTGCTGTGAAAGGAAAGATGCCCAAAAGCTGGTGTGTTATTTCCTTGGCTGACAACCTAACTTACCAACTAGTTATAATATCACCATCAGACAAAATTAGAGTATGAGTGCACCCTTGCATTGAGAATTATAGCTTAATAGTAAGTGCCAGTTGAGATACACAATGCTCCTATATAAAGAGCTATATTACTTGTTAAACAATAAATCTGCTTACAAGTTAATAACATGCTTTTTATACACATATTAAAAACTGCAACGAAGCGAAAAGAGTAAATTGCCAATAAAAATTAACAAACTTACACAATTACTGATGAGAGTGAAGTGACCTTAGGCATCACACTCACATTAATTGCTCTGCGTGGTTCCACACACCATCTAATGCAGAAGAACATATGTAACGAAGGTGAGGCATGAATGATACGGTAAAAATGCTGGTTTTGAAATAGGGAAAATTTACCTAACGACTGCTACATCAGATCAAGTGACATTGAATTCAAAACTGCATAAAATGCTCCTCATGACTGAGATTTCATTTACTGACAAATCAGGAGAATAATTTAAGAGCACGCTCAATGTTATCTGTTATTGATTCTGGGAATCATTGCCTCTTGCCCCTATCTGGAATTACTTCCTAAACTGGGATGAAAATATGAAATAAATTAACTGTAGAGAAAAAATAATAATAATAAAAAAAAAAAGACAGCAATCCTGTCAGTGTATACCACACAAATAATATGCAAATAGGAAAATTAAACTTATGACAACATTTCAGTCTGACCTTGATCATTAACCAGACAGAAAAAAATGAAGGGAATGGAGCCAGTATATATATATATATATACGAGAGGGAGGATGAGGCAGAAAGTAGTACAAGAGGAGGTAGTAATATAATTACAATAGTAGAGAGAGTAGTATAATTGTAGATGCAGAGGTAGTAGTATAATTGTAGATGAAGAGGTAGTAGTATAATTGTAGATGCAGAGGTAGTAGTATAACTATAGAAACAGAAGTACGTAATACAGTGGACCCCCGCATAACGGACGCCTTGCATAGCGGACAATCCGCATAGCAGACGCTTTGATCGCTAAAATTTTGCCCCGCATAGTGGACAAAAACCCGCTCAGCGGCCTTCGTCCGAGACGCGTCCAATGTGCGGCCTGAGCCACGCTCACATGTTCCGCGGGTGGCATTGTTTACCAGCCAGCCTCCGCGGTAACATCCAAGCATACAATCGGAACATTTTGTATTATTACAGTGTTTTTGGTGATTTTTTTCTGGAAAATAAGTGACCATGGCCCCAAGAAAGCTTCTAGTGCCAACCCTACAGCAATAAGGGTGAGAATTACTATGGAGATGAAGAAAAGATCATTGATAAGTATGAAAGTGGAAGTGCGTGTCTCCGAGCTGGCCGGTTGTATAATAAACCCCAATTCAACCATCGCTACTATTGGTGGTACAGCTGCTGCTGCTGCTGTATCACCGTCAGCTGCTGCTGCACTGTCAGCTGCTGCTGCTGTACCACCGTCAGCTGCTCCTGCTGCTGTAGTACCGTCTGCTGCTGCTGTAGCATCATCTGCTGCTGCTGTAGCATCGTCTGTTGCTGCTGTTCCACCGTCAGCTGCTGCTGCTGCTGTAGCATCGTCTGCTGCTGCTGCTGCTGTAGCATCGTCTGCTGCTGCTGCTGCTGCTGTAGCATCGTCTGCTGCTGCTGTAACATCGTCAGTTGCTGCTGTAGCATCGTCTGCTGCTGCTGTAGCATCGTCTGTTGCTGCTGTAGCATCGTCTGCTGCTGCTGTAACATCGTCAGTTGCTGCTGTAGCATCGTCTGCTGCTGCTGTAGCATCGTCTGTTGCTGCTGTAGCATCGTCTGCTGCTGCTGCTGCTGTAGCATCGTCTGTTGCTGCTGTTCCACCGTCAGCTGCTGCTGCTGCTGTAGCATCGTCTGCTGCTGCTGTAACATCGTCAGTTGCTGCTGTAGCATCGTCTGCTGCTGCTGTAGCATCGTCTGTTGCTGCTGTAGCATCGTCTGCTGCTGCTGCTGCTGTAGCATCGTCTGCTGCTGCAGTAACATCGTCAGTGCTGCTGCTGCTTGGTAGCACCGTTGTTGGTGTGGCTTATTGAGAATACCAAGAAACAATTAACCCCAGAGGATTTGCCACCCAGGATAGCCCAAAAAAGTCAGTGTCATCGAAGACTGTCTAACTTATTTCCATTGGGGTCCTTAATCTTGTCTCCCAGGATGCAACCCACACCAGTCGACTAACACCCAGGTGAACAGGGAAAATGCCTGGAACTAGTGCTCATATTGGTGAATTTAGAGCCAGCAAAGGTTGGTTGAGAGATTTAAGAATCGTAGTGGCATACACAGTGTGATAAGGCCTGTTCTGGAAGAAAATACCAAACAGGACCTACAGTACTCGGGAGGAAAAGGCACTCCCAGGACACAGTGTCTCATCAGTCATTGCTGCATCTTCAATAAAGGTAAGTGTCATTTATTCTTCATTTAGTAGAGTAGTACATGCACAATATATATTGTGCATGTACTACTCTACTATTGTGCATGTATCCTTCTCTTTGTGTGTAGGAAAATGTATATTTCATGTGGTAAAAATTTTTTTTTCAAACTTTTGGGTGTCTTGCACGGATTAATTTGATTTCCATTATTTCTTATGGGGAAAATTCATTCGCATAGCGAACATTTCGCATAACAGCCAGCCCTCTTGCACGGATTAAGGTCGCTATGCGGGGGTCCACTGTACTAGTATAAATGTAGTAGTATAATTGAATAAGCAGAGGCGATAGTATAAGTAGTAAAGAGTACAGTGTTAGAAGTGACAATAAGAAAGGGGTAGTGGTAGTGATACTAGAGTTAGACAGTGGAGTGTTAATGAAGCAGTAGTAGTGGAGGTAGTCCAAGTTGGACTGCAACATCATCATAAGTTTCATTCTCCGATGTGTGTTATTTGTGTATTGTTCTGGGAAGTTTATGTCTTCTTATTCTTAAGTGTAAACTATTAAACAGACTTCTGTTTCACTCAAATTTTTTTTTATGAAATCAGTAAGCTTTTTTTTTTCTTCAACAAGTCAGCTGTCTCCCACCGAGACAGGGTGACCTGAAAAGAAAATGCTTTCATCATCATTCAACACTTTCACCTCACTCATACATAATCACTGTATTTGCAGAGGTGCTCAGAACACAACAGTTTAGAAGCATATATAAAGATGTACAACATATCCCTCCAAACTGCCAATATCCCAAACCCCTCCTATAAAGTGCAGGCATTGTTCTTCCCAAAATTTGCAGTACTCAAGTCCAGCTATATAAAAATAACCGGTTTCCCTGAATCCCTTCACTAAATATTACTGTGCTCACACTCCAACAGCTCGTCAGGTCCCAAATACAATTCATCTCCATTCACTCCTATCGAACATGCTCACACGTGCTTGCTGAAGTCCAAGCCCCTCGCCCACAAAACCTCCTTTACCCCTTCCCTCCAACCTTTTCGAGGACGACCCCTACCCCTCCTTCCTTCCCCTGCAGATTTAAATGCTCTCCATGTCATTCTACTTTGATCCATTCTCTCTAAATGACCAAACCAGCTCAACCACCCCTCTTCAGCCCTCTGACTAATACTTTTATTAACTCCACACCTTCTCTTAATTTCCACACACTGATTCTCTGCATAATATTTACATCACACATTGCCCTTAAACAGGACATCTCCACCACCTCCTCGTTGCAGCATTTACAACCCAAGCTTCACACCCATATAAGGGTGTTGATACCACTATACTTTCATACATTCCCTTCTTTGCCTCCATATACAGTGGACCCCCGCTTAACGATCACCTCCAAATGCGACCAATTATGTAAGTGTATTTATGTAAGTGCGCTTGTACGTGTATGTTTGGGGGTCTGAAATGGACTAATCTACTTCACAATATTCCTTATGGGAACAAATTCGGTCAGTACTGGTACCTGAACATACTTCTGTAATGAAAAAAGATCGTTAATCGGGGGTCCACTGTATAATGTTTTTTGTCTCCACATATACCTCAATGCACGACTTACCTTCTTTCCTTCATCAATTCTATGGTTAACCTCATCCTTCATAAATCTATCCGCTGACACGTCAACTCCCAAATATCTGAAAACATTCCCTTCTTCCATACTCCTCCTCTCCCATTTGATATCCAATTTTTCTTTATCTAAATCATTTGATACCCTCATCACCTTACTCTTTTCTATGTTCACTTTCAACTTTCTACCTTTACACACACTCCCAAACTCATCCACTAACCTTCGCAACTTTTCTTTAAAATCTCCCATAAGCACAGTATCAGCAGCAAAAAGTAACTGTGTCAATTCCTATTTTGTATTTAATTCCCCATAATTTAATCCCACTCCCCTCCCCAATACCCTAGCATTTATTTCTTTTACAACCCCATCTATAAATATATTAAACAACCATGGTCACATTACACATCCCTGTCTAAGACCTACTTTTACTGGGAGGTAATCACCCTCTCTTCTACACACCCTAACCTGAACCTCACTATCCTCATAAGAACTCTTTACAGCATTTAGTAACTTACTATCTATTCCATATAGTACTTGCAATATCTGCCACATTGTTCCCCTATCCATGCTATCATTTTTTTTTCTCCAACAAACCGGCCATATCCCACCAAGGCAGGGTGGCCCAAAAAGAAAAACAAAAGTTTCTCTTTTTAAATTTAGTAATCTATACAGGAGAAGGGGTTATTAGCCCCTAGCTCCCGGTATTTTAGTCGCCTCTTACAACATGCATGGCTTACGGGGGAAGAATTCTGTTCCACTTCCCCCATGGAAAATCGCGAATGTTTGGTGCCCCAATATATTGCAGGGAAATATAATACAATACTGCTTCCTTAACTTGTTGAACCATGAACAATCATAAAATACATGAAAACGTCGTAAATTGTACTAAATACATACATGTTATGGTTTAATAACATGTATGTTATTAAATACCACTGCCTCCACCACTTCCTCAACCACTGCGAGTCCCTGCTACCCTCCCTCCGACCCCCGCAACTGGCAGCCAGCCCTCCCACCAGTGTGGTGTTTTGTTCGTTCATTATTTGCTATTAAACTACAGTATAAATAATGTAAACCCATTCATGACTGCATATTGGAATGGCTATTCGGATAGGAATTGGATGGTGACATCGTGTGTTTACTCTTGAGCACAGCAAAGAATCAAACATTTCTGCTACTGCTAATAGTAACAATAGTAACAATAGTAATAATAATAATAATAATAATAATAATAATAATAATAATAATAATAATAATAATAATAAATACGATAGAATTGAAGAAGGAAATTGTACAAAAATATGAGGGAGTGGTTGAGGCATCGTCAGTCAGTGTGGCTTTGTTTATGCTGGAATGAGCATTAGTCTCCGTGCTCTTCCAAACATTTCACAGTAATTCATTGTGTTTGGTGCTTGTAGATTGAGTGTGACTGGAGTGGTTGAGGCAGTGGTTGAGGCAGTGGTTGAGGCAGCAGTTGAGGCAGTGGTTGAGGCAGCAGTTGAGGTAGTGGGTGAGGCAGTGCTTGAGACAATGGTAGAGGGAGCAGTTGAGGCAGTGGTATTTAATAACATATTATGTTATAAATAATAATAGTACATATTATTAATAACATGTATTATTATTAATAACATTTATTATTATTATTAACATGTTATTAAATACCACTGCCTCAACTGCTGCCTCAACTGCTGCCTCAACCACTTCCTCACCCACTGCCTCACCCACTGCCTCAACCGCTGCCTCAACTGCTTCCTTAACCACTGCCTCACCCACTGCCTCAACTGCTTTCTCAACCACTGCCTCAACTGCTGCCTCAACCACTGCCTCTACCACTCCAGTCGCACTCAATCTACAAGCACCGAACACAATGAATTACTGTGAAATGTTTGGAAGAGCACAGAGACTAATGCTCACTCCAGCATAAACAAAGCCACACTGACGATGTGTCAACCACTCCCTCGTATTTTTGTACAATTTCTTCCTTCAATTCTATCGTATTTATTATTTATTATTATTATTACTATTGTTATTATTAGCAGTAGCAGAAATGTTTAATTCTTTGCTGTGCTCAAGAGTAAACACATGATGTCACCGTCCAATACCTGTCCGAATACCCATTCCAATATGCAGTCATGAATGGGTTTACATTATTTATACTGTAGTTTAATAGTAAATAATGAACAAACAAAACACTCACCACACTGGTGGGAGGACTGGCTGCCAGTTGCGAGGTCAGAGGGAGGGTAGTAGGGACTCGTGGCAGGAAATTTGAATATGATTTGGCGGCTGGGAGTTTGGAGGCTGGGAATTTGGTGGTTGGGAATTCGCGAATGTGTGAAGCCCGCAAAGTTGAAAATGCGAATGTTGAGGGAGACCTGTAGAAGAAAACCCAGAGGGGTGTGTATATATATATATGCTTCTACATGTACGTGTAGTGTGACTTAAGTGTAAGTAGAAGTAGCAAGACAGTGTACCTGAAATCTTGCATGTTCATGAGACAGAAAAGAGGACACCAGCAATCCTACCATCATGTAAAACAATTACAGGCTTTCGTTTTACACTCACTTGGCAGGACGATAGTACTTCCCTGGGCGGTTGCTGTCTACCAACCTACTACCTAGGACTCTATCATATGCCTTTTCTAAATCCATAAATACAATGAAAACTTCCCTACCTTTATTTAAATACTGTTCACATATATACTTCAATGTAAACACTTGACCTACACATCCCCTACCCACTCTAAAACCTCCTTGCTCATCTGCAATCCTACATTCTTTCAATTATAACCTTACCGTACACTTTTCCTGGTATACTCAGTAAACTTATTCCTCTATAATTTTTACAATCTCTTTGTCCCCCTTCCCTATACATAAAGGAATTATACATGCTCTCTGCCAATCCCTAGGTACCTTCCCCTTTCATACATTTATTAAACAAAAATACCAACCATTCCAACACTATATCCCCCCCCTGCTTTTAACATTTCTGTCATGATCCCGTTAGTTCCAGCTGCTTTACCCTCTTTCATTCTACGTAATGCCTCACACACCTCCCCCACACTCACATCCTGCTCTTCTTCACTCTTAAAAGATGGTATACATCCCTGGCCAGTGCATGAAATTACCGCCTCCCTTTCTTCGTCGACATTTAAAAGTTCCTCAAAATATTCCCACCATCTACCCAACACCTCTGTCTCCCTATCTACTAACTCCCCTACTCTGATTTTAACTGACTAATCCAAACATATGTCCTATTAACCCCTTGACTGTCGCAACCCCAAATCCTGAGGTGTCTCCTGGTGTCACAAATTTGGAAAAAAAAAGATAGAGAATCTTTTCCCGATTGTAACGACGCCAAAAGAATGAAATTTGATGGAAAACTGACGAAATTATACTCTCACGAAGTTAGCGACCTCAGCGATATTTACAAATCGGCAATTTCGCCCACTTTGAGCCCTATTTTCGGCTAATTCCATTGTTCCAGTCGACCAAACTCATAGCTATTTCTTTAGAACTCCATTTTTCTATCGAATGAGTACAAGAAACTGCCCATTTACTGATTTCAACTACCCAATAACGTGGTCAGAAATTTACATTTTAGCCACTTTCACGAAAATTAAAAAATATGACAATTTCAAAATAGGGTCCAGAATGAACAATGCAGACATTCCTGGCTCTAAAATAACATTTTCTTTGTTCATCAGTTATGTCTCCAGGCCCCTCTGATATAACTCTTGCTTTCTATTTTGAATTTTTATTCAAACAAAAAATAGAAGATTTACTGTTATGCAGACTACTGCAATACTGTAATAATTGTATAAATAACATCAACCCATTCATGACTGCATATTAGAATGGCTAGTTGGACATTTATTGGACAATGACATCATTTGTTTACTTTTGAACATCGGCAAAAATCAAACATTTCCCCTACTTTGAGCCCCATTTCAAGATTCTTTTCATAGTAAAACCAATCAAAATCACCTCTATTTCTATAGTATGTTTCCCATTCCATCAAATGAAACCAAGAAAACGAGAATACAGCCATAAATACTATACAAAAATAGACCATAAAGTCGGCATTTTAATTAAAAAAAAAAAAAAAAGTCTGACTTTTTTTTCTCATTATGCACTGTGTGCTGCAGGATTTTTTTTATATGGTGCCCACTAACCACACTGACCCATTCTCTCACATGTGGGCCTACCAGCTTCCTCCTGCTTGACCTGAAGCCGCTAGAATTTATGAGTATATATATACGTCAAAAATGGTAGCTTGTAAGACTTACAAATACGACCAAAACAGTCAAAGGGTTAATAACATATGGTATTAATATAAATTATGGTAGACTAAATGACGAGTTAAGAATTTCTCAAAAAGCTAACAGGACAGTTTCAAAGTAAGACAAATACAAGTGACCAAGTCACCCCATCCAACTCACTCTTCCCGCTGGTTACTGAACATTTAATAAAAAGTGGGAAAAATAGTTTCACATTATAGTACCTGCTAATACGTGAGGTTCGATGTTCGTGTGAAGATTTAGGTGTTGGAGGCAAGTTTGGAGTCGAGGATGGAGTACTGGGAGCCACTAAAGGCGCAACTAATTCTGTGCTGTCACCAGTTTTCTGACTTGGGTTGCCACACTTGCCATTCTCCAACTGGTGCACTTCAACCTTCATAAAATATATACTGAATAATAAAAAATAATGAACAGAAATTTATATACATCTTCCTATCAAGCTGTCTTTCTTTTAATAATACCATGGAGGCATATGCCAAATTAACAATCATTTAGGTTACCATTCATTTCTGTTAAGTGCTTAATATCAGCCTCTAATACAAAAACATCTATTTCTGGAAAAGAAAACACATTCATTTGTTTATAATAGCATACCTGTGTCACAGTCTCCATTTCATAATCCACCTTTTTCCTCAGTGTTTGCTTCAAGACATAACTTGGCAAAGGATCAGGGTTGGGAGTAAAAGGTTTAACACGTTCATTCATCGATTTGCGTGTGGTTCGCAAAGGAGATGATTGTCTTATGAGTTGCAGTTGTAGGCGTGCAGATGGTAACACAGGAGATGACCCTAATTGATAGAAATGAATTTTGACATACACAAAATTACATGAATCAATACCTAAGTAATAATTTTTAATACCTAGCACAATAATTTTTTGTCTACCCTCCAAATGTGAATTAACTATACATTTACCAGTACCCAAGTAGAGGGAAAGAGAAAGTTTGACTGACAGGTAAAAAACAGTGGAACCTCAAAAATCGAACGTATCACATATCGAATGTTTCGAAAATAAGACCATTTTTTCGGACAAACTGTGTCCCTATTATTGAACGCGCCCCTATTTTCGGACCGCCGGGTACGGGACCTGTCCACTGGCCCGCTCTGTCCGCGTCCCCACACAGTCGCCGTGAGCAGTCTAGCTTTGTTTATGCTTGAGTGAACACTAACCTGTGATCTCATTCACACATTTTACGATTATTTAATTGTGTTTAGTGCTTGTGGGGCTGTGAAATAAGCTGCCATGGGCCCAAAGAAACTTGCTAGCAGTACCCCTGTGGTAAAGAAGTGAGAAACACCATAGATGTGAAGAAGGAAATAATACAGAAGTATGAGATAGGAGTGAGACTTGTTGAGCTTGCGAGAGCTTGTGAGAGAGAAACAGACGACTGTGGACAGTTATTTTGTGAGGCAGAAACAGACGACTGTGGAATTATTTTGCAAGACAGAAACAAGACAACTGAGGAGTTATTTTGTGAGACAAACAGACGATTGTGGACAGTTATTTTGTGAGACAGAAACAGACAACTGTGGAGTTATTTTGAGACAAACAGACGATTGTGGACAGTTATTTTGTGAGACAGACGACTGTGGACAGTTATTTTGTGAGACAGAAACAGACGACTGTGGGTAGTTATTTTGTGAGACAGAAACAGATGACTGTGGACAGTTATTTTGTGAGACAAACAGACAATTGTTGACAGTTATTTTGTGAGACAGAAACAGACGACTGTGGGTAGTTATTTTGTGAGACAGAAACAGATGACTGTGGACAGTTATTTTGTGAGACAGAAACAGACGACTGTGGAGTTATTTTGTGAGACAACAGACGATTGTGGACAGTTATTTTGTGAGACAGAAACAGATGACTGTGGATAGTTATTTTGTGAGACAGAAACAGACGGCTGTAGACAGTTATTTTGTGAGACTGGGGTCCAATGACTCTCAAGCTGGTCCTAGTGGCATTAAAATACAGAGAAGAGAAGCAACCCCAGAGAGGGCTTTGATACCGGAAGTCCTCATGGAGGGGGATTCTCCTTCCAAACACTAACCCCAACTCCCTCTCTCCTCCCTATCTTCCAGATGCCATCACCAATCTTCAATAAAGGCAAGTAAAAATGTTATTTTATATTACTATACATAATTAAAGACTATAGCATTTGTTGTGTGTATGTAAAACTGTAATTAATCTCTATAAAATGTATTTTTTTTTGTGAATATTTTTGGGTTTCTGGAACGGATTAATTGTATTTCCTTAATTTCTTATGGGAAATATTGCTTCGAATTTCAGACTTTTCGAATTTAGAACTAGCTCCTGGAACGGATTAAGTTCGAAATTCGAGGTTCCACTGTTTAAGTTAATCTTAATAAAAACAATGATCTTGTACTTTTTATTTCAATACATAAACAAGTTGCTTGCTATAAAAATATCAGAGAAATCCTCATTCAAAGGGAGAGCTCAATAAAGAATCTTACCCCGATATTTCAGCTGTCTCCAAACGTCAAAGATATTTGAAACACCTCTTCTAGATATAATTCCTATGTATTATTATTATTATTATTATTAGGATTAGGTCAGGGGTTTCAAATAGAGTTAGAGCTAAAGAAGGAGTAGCAATAATGTTGAAGGATAAGTTATGGCAGGAAAAGAGGACTATAAATGTATTAATTCAAGGATTATGTGGAGTAAAATAAAGGTTGGATGTGAAAAGTGGGTTATAGTAACCGTATATGCACTTGGAGAAGAGAGAAGTGTAGAGGAGAGAGAGAGATTTTAGGAAATGTTGAGTGAATGTATGGGGAGTTTTGAACCAAATGTGAGAGTAACGGTGGTTGGGGATTTCAATGCTAAAGTGGGCAAAAATGTTGTGGAGGTAGTAGTAGGTAAATTTGGGGTGCCAGAGGTAAACGAAAATGGGAAGCATTTAATTGAGCTATGTGTAGAAAGAGGTTTGGTAATAAGTAATACATGTTTTATGAAGAGGATAAATAAATGTACAAGGTATGATATAGCACGTAATGAAAGTAGTTTGTTAGATTAAGAAATTGGTGGATAAAAGTTGATGGTAAGCTCCAGGATGTACACGTTTATAGAGGGGCAACTGATATACGGATCATTATTTAGTTGTAGCTATAGTTAGAGTAAGAGGTAGATGGGAAAAGAGGAAGTGGCAACAACAAGCAAGAGGGAGTGAAAGTGTATAAACTAAGGAAGGAGGGGGAAGTTCGGTGAGATATAACAATTAATTGGCAAAAGGTGGCTGGTGCAAGTATGAGTAGTGGGGGGGTTGAAGAGGGTTTGTATAGTAATAAAAATGCAGTATTAGAATGTGGGGCAGAAGTTTGTGGTTAAGGAGGGTGAGGGCAGGAGGAAAAAGGAGTGATTGGTGGAATATGAAGTAAAGGGTGTGATAAAAGAGAAAAAGTTAGCTTATGAGAGGCTTTAAAACACAGCAGAATTGTTATAAAAGAGTAGAGATATGGAGATTAAAAGAAAGGTAAAGAGAAGTGTGAGAGTGCAAAAGGAGAGCAGATGATAGAGTGGGGAGGCACTGTCAAGAAATTTTAATGAAAATAAGAAAAAATTTTTGGGAGTGAGGTAAACAATTAAGAAAGCTTAGGAAAGTATGGATTTGTCATTTAAAAACAGAGTAGGGAGTTAGTAAAATGGGGATGATGGAGGAAATTGGTAGATGGCAGAATATTTTGAGAACTTTTAAATGTCGCCCAAAGAAAGGGAAGCACAATTTCATGCACTGGCCAGGAGGTAAAACCAATTTTAGGAGTGAAGAAGAACAGGATGTGAGTTGAGGGAGGTGCGCGAGGCATTTACGTAGAATGAAAGGGGGTAAAGCAGCTGGAACTGACGGGATCATGACAGAAATGTTAAAAGCAAGGGGGGATATAGTGTTGGAGTGGTTGGTATTTTTGTTTAATAGATGTATGAAAGAGGGGAAGGTACCTAGGGAGAGGCGGAGAGCGTGTATAGTCCCTTTATATAAAGGGAAGGGGGACAAGAGATTGTAAAAATTATAGAGGAATAAGTTCACTGAGTATACCAGGAAAAGTGTACGGTAAGGTTATAATTGAAAGAATGTAGGATTGCAGATGAGCAAGGAGGTTTCAGAGTGGGTAGGGGATGTGTATATCAAGTGTTTACATTGAAGCATATATGTGAACAGTATTTAAAATAAAGGTAGGGAAGTTTTTATTGCATTTATGGATTTAGAAAAAGGGATATGATAAGAGTGGATAGGGAAGCAATGTGGCAGATGTTGCAAGTATATGGAATAGGTGGTAAGTTACTAAATGCCGTAAAGAGTTTTTATGAGGATAGTGAGGTTCAGATTAACATAAGAACATAAGAAAGAAGGAACACTGCAGCAGGCCTACTGGCCCCAAACAAGGTAAAGGGCCATGTCCCAACCCCCCCCCCCCCCCCGGCTTAGAACAATGACCCACCTAGTCAGGTCACATCCATTGAAGGAAGGAGCACGACATCAGACCTAGTAGCTCAAGCTAGTCAAGTCCAACTCTAACCCACCCATACTCATGTATTTATCTAACCTAATTTTATTTTCCTCTTAAAATGGGAGTGTTAATGCGACATGGCATCAGTGAATCCCTGGTGTTTGCCATGCTATTTGCTCTAACTGGTGCTCAATTGAACTGGTGCTCCCACAAGATACTAAGTGCTCCCAGATTTTTTTAATACTGCACACAATAAGTGCACAGACCCATTCCTTCATGCATACACGACTCAAGCCTATTGTGCCAAATTTGAAGAAATGAAAAATAAAACATTGATCTACGTCTCGAGAGCAACACATGCAAATGTAGATCTACGTTTGGACAGTTTAAGGGTTAAGCACCAATAACTCTACTTAACCCTTTGATGTTCTGGTCGCATATACACGTCTTACTCGCCACTGCTTCGGACGCACTTCTACGCGCAAACTACAGCAGCTTCAAATCAAGCAAGAGAAAGCTGGCAGGCTCACATGCGAGAGAACAGGTCTGTGTGGTCAGTGTGCACTGTATTAAAAAAAAAATCCTAGGATGTGTAGAAGAGAGGGAGACTACCTCCTGGTAAAAGTAGTCTTAGACAGGGATGTGTAATGTCACCATGGTTGTTTAATATATTTATAGATGGGGTTGTAAAAGAAGTAAGTGCTAGGTGTAGACAGCCTGTACTGTCTGCACAGACAGCCCATGCTGTCTGCCAGCTTAGTTCATATTTCGCGCCATGCTGGTGCTGCCACCTATAGGCGTTGCCACTTCAGTATGCCCAGACTTGCCTCTCTCTCACTCACACAGCAGCCTAGCAGGAAGACACAAGCCCTACTCCTAGCTCTCTCTCGTGGGATGGCCCTCCCGGGCCATGGGCACAACACACAAGCCTGTGTACTCACAACGACATTTTCAATAAACAAAGAAGCCTCCGAAGACGTATCATTTACTCCCCACTACCAGAACACCAAATAATCCTTTTTTATTATAAATGGTGGAAAGCGGTGGTTGCAGCAGTGTGTTTGCCCAGAGAGAGGAAGGAAGGAATGAAGTTGTTCACTTCATCCCCCTACACAACAAACATCCGTCTCTCAACGAGTTATCCTGATGTCGTGTCTGCACGTTCGAGCATCCGGACACAAGTACAAGCAGGATCCAGCCAAAATTTGCCGAAATTCTTCGAGAATTGTAGTGGCGTCCCAGCGACCCCACGCTACAGCGTCCCACGCTCTTTCTCAAGTCACGCGTTCAGCGTCACTTGTATGTTGCTGTTGTTGTTCAGCTCAGCACAGCTGTTTCAGCAAGCCAGAGGTGAGTTTCGTGGTGATCTCTGCGTCCAGTGTGAGTTCTCCACGCGTTTGTGGGAGTGGCCGCTCCTTGCCTCGCCCTGCTGTACTCTCACACCTCACCAGCCTACCATACACCACTACTCACTCCCTCTGCTGTGTTTTCTGTTGTTTGTGAATTCATTGCCAGAGCTGTGTATCCGAGTGCCCGAGGCCACTCGAAGCTACGTGGATCAGCAAGCCATATAGATCAGTATGCCACGTAGATCACGACACCACATGGATCACGACGCCACGTGGGTGTGGACGATGTCATGTGGATCTACAAACCACGTGAGTTACCGAGCCAGATGTCCCAGGCCTCATGCTGTGGTCTGCTGCCCGCATCACATTGACGTCACCCACGATGCTGCCCGACTTCATGACGTCACGATGTCTGCCTGACGTCACCTCGAGATGTCTGCTGACGTCACCTCGCGACATCACGCCTGACATCACATGATGTCACATCGAGTGTTTCTAGTAATTATTTCAGTATTGTCGAGAAGATTGAGAGAAAATATGTCGTGTGTTAATTAATTCCTCTCAGTCAGTGTTCTCACATGTTTGTGTACCGCGGGTGTGTGTAGTTTCCATGTGTCCAGTGAGGTCTGAGCCAGACCTCAGTAGCACCACTGTGCTAAGTCACCCATGTGACCAGTACGTTTGACAGCTGATGTCAAGTCAGCCCCCGAGTGACCGAGCCCTCTTGTACAGAAAGCTTTTATGCTCGTTGCTCGTGATGTTCTGCAGAACCGTACCTGCTACGATTCCCATCGAGATTTGTTTCACTTCACCTCCAGACTGTCAGAGTGCAATTATATGTAGAGAAACAAGTCTGGGGACGCTTAGACTAACCTCTGCTATAACTCCAACTGCCGAGAGAATGACACTCGCCAAGCCGCAGTTAGCCACTGTCGGCAGGCGCTGTGTCAGCCTCGTGTCACAAGCTTCAGTGAGTAGCCTGCACAAAGAAGATGTCACTTTGACTGCTAGCTCGCTCACTGCAGTGTATGATGTTACGACTCCCAGATGTTTCGCCCAGTCGTCTCTGCCACGACTCGCTCCACGCTCGCCGGCAGTGACAGCCCAGCGACAGTACCAGTCGAGAAGTGTCCTCCTGAGTCGCTTGTCTGAAGTCCTGCCCAGTTGCCGAGTTTTGTCGACGCCTCACTCGAGGGCACCAGCATGTCGTGCCCCAGGTTGAGTGAAAACCTGCAGCGACTCCTACGATGACTGCTTCACCGTTCCAGAGGAGACCATACCCTGTTACGTCACAGCTCAGCCGCAGCGATGTCTCCCGTGTTGCAGTATCTGTCCAGACGCAGGAAGGCGTGCAGTGATGCCCATCGATGCTCACTGCCTTTGACCACGATGTTTAGCACACCCCACGTGTTTTTTCTTCCCTCCCTGTAGGAAGTTTTTTTTCCATGTCCATATGTATATATATATGCTTTTTATTTTGTGTTCTGTGCCCTGTTCCTATGAGAGAGACCGAGTTTCTTTACCACCAGTATTGTCGAGTCGGGACGACGCGCGGTAGGTGGCCGAGCGTATGTAGACAGCCTGTACTGTCTGCACAGACAGCCCATGCTGTCTGCCAGCTTAGTTCATATTTCGCGCCATGCTGGTGCTGCCACCTATAGGCGTTGCCACTTCAGCCTGCCTGCCCTTGCCTCACTCTCACTCTCACAGCGGCCTAGCAGGAAGACACAAGGCCTACTCCTAGCTCTCTCTCGTGGGATGGCCCTGCCCAGGCCATGGGCACAACACACAAGCCTGTGTACCCACCATGACTTAACAATAAAGTAAGAAGCCTCCGAAGACGTTTAGCATTAACCACCCGCTTACAGCCTACCAAACTAACTCGTTATATAGGGTGTTCGGGAGAGGGGTGGGATTAAATTAAGGGGAATCAAATTCAAAATGGGAATTGACACAGTTGCTTTTTGCTGATGATACTGTGCTTATGGGAGATTCTAAAGAAAAACTGCAAAGGTTAGTGGATGAGTTTGGGAATGTGTGTAAAGATAGAAAGTTGAAAGTGAACATAGAAAAGAGTAAGTGATGAGGGTATCAAATGATTTAGATAAAGAAAAATTGTATATAAAATTGGGGAGGAGTATGGAAGAAGTGAATGTTTTCAGATAGTACTTGGGAGTTGACGTGTCAGCGGATGGATTTATGAAGGATGAGGTTAATCATAGAATTGATGAGGGAAAAAAGGTGAGTGGTGCGTTGAGGTATATGTGGAGACAAAAAACGTTTTCAATGGAGGCAAAGAAGGGAATGTATGAAAGAATAGTAGTACCAACACTCTTATATGGGTGTAAACCTTGGGTTGTGAATGCAGCAGCGAGGAGGCGGTTGGAGGCATTGGAGATGTGTGGTGTAAATATTTTGCAGAAAATTCAGTGTGGAAATTAGGAGGTGTGGAGTTAGTAAAAGTATTAGTCAGAGGGCTGAAGAGGGGTTGTTGAGGTGGTTTGGTCATTTAGAGAGAATGGATCAAAGTAAAATGACATGGAGAGCATTTAAATCTGTAGGGAAAGGAAGGTGGGGTAGGGGTAAGGGAGGTTTTGTGGGCGAGGGGCTTGGACTTCCAGCAGGCGTGCATGAGCGTGTTCGATAGGAGTGAATGGAGATGAATGGTATTTGGGACCTGACAATCTGTTGGAGTGTGAGCAGGGTAATATTTAGTGAAAGGATTCAGGGAAACCGGTTATTTTTATATAGCCGGACTTGAGTCCTGGAAATGGGAAGTACAATGCCTGCACTCTAAAGGAGGGGTTTCGGGATATTAGCAGTTTGGAGGGATATGTTGTGTATCTTCATGCGTATATGCTTCTAAACTGTTGTGTTCTGAGAACCTCTGCAAAAACAGTGATTATGTGTGAGTGAGGTGAAAGTGTTTAATGATGATGAAAGTATTTTCTTTTTAGGGATTTTCTTTCTTTTTGGGTCACCCTGCCTCGGTGGGAGACGGCCGACTTATTAAAAAAAAAAAAAAAATTAGTATTCCTATGTAATATTATTATTATAATCATAACTAAGTACTAAACCCATATGGGTCCCAGTACTGCAGATTCCTATGCAATGATTTAGCTTTCCCAGTAATAATATTACAGTACAGGGCACAGTTGTCCTTTCTCAGACTGGCATCTAATGAAATCTCTTTGAATCTCAATAATTCCTTCTAGCTACTTTCAGGTTAAAAAATTTAATAAATAAAATTATCTCTATGCATTGTATTACAATACTGCATCAAAAATAATTTTAGTGATCCTTCTTAGAAGCTGATTTTTCTGAAGCATTAAATCAGATTGTGACTAGATTCAATTTTAAACTAGAACTTTTTGGAACTTTAGATACAGATTTTGTTGCTCTTAGGAATGTTTCGGTAGATGTTTTTTGGCTTTACTGGGATGTTGGTTGGTGATTAAAGTTTTCTTAACGTTTCTTTGAACAACTTGAGAGTGTAGTGCTATATTTTTTTAAATTAGATGTTTTGCTTCTGTTTGCCTCTGGAGATGGGCTTGCAGATTCAGTAATTTTAAATTTTGGAGACTGACTTGCAACAAGTCTTGTTTTAAACTTGGGTGACAATGTTGCATATTTTTTTCCTGAAATTGTTGATGATTGCTGCACATCATTTGTCTTTGTAATCTTTGGTGACTGTATTGCACTCTTTGTTCTTTTAGGCTTTGGTGATGGACTTGCAATCCTTTGTTTTGTTATGTTCGGATAATTTGAATGTGTTCTTTGTTTTAAGTCTTGGTGTCTGACTTGCATCTTTAGTTGTTTTAAGTTTTGGTGATTGAATGACTTTTATTTTAACCTCAGGTGACTTGACAACACATGTTCTAATTGGCTTTGGTGACCGCACCACATTACGTGTTCTTGTCAGTTTTGGTGACCGCACCACATTACGTGTTCTTGTCAGTTTTGGTGACCGGCTTTTGTCACTTGATCTAATCAGCTTCAGTGGCTGGATTTTATCAGTTGATTTATTCAGCTTTGGTGACTGGATTACATCAGTTGATTTATTCAGCTTTGGTGACTGGATTACATCACTTGATTTATTCAGCTTTGGAGACTGGATTATTGCACTTGCTCTTGCAGTCTTTGATGACTGGATTACATCACTTGATTTATTCAGCTTTGGAGACTGGATTATTGCACTTGCTCTTGTAGTCTTTGATGACTGGATTACTGCACTTGCTCTCGTAGTCTTTGACGACTGGATTACTGCACTTGCTCTCGTAGTCTTTGACGACTGGATTACTGCACTTGCTCTCGTGGTCTTTGACGACTGGATTACAGTACTTGTTCTTGTCTGTGGGGACTGCATTGTATCATTTGCACTTGCCAGCTTTGGTAATTGGGTTACACATTTTGCTAACTCTGACGACTTGCGTGCAACATGTGCTCCTGTGTGCCTTGGCGACTGAATTTCATAATTTTTTTTAGTGCGCTTTGGCAACTTGATTGCATCCTTGTTTCTCCAAACTTCATGTGACTTGTCTGAATCAATTTTTCTCTTAAGAATAGGTGACTGGGTTTCATCCTTTTCCTTATGTTTTGATAATGGAATAGGATCAATTTTCTCAAATTTCAATGACTGAATTGATTCCTTCTTTTCAAGTTTTGATGACAAAGTTGTATCCTTTGCTTGTATATGCTTCGAAGAAGAGCTTATCTGAGAAACCTCACGTTTTTTACTGGGAGATGATCCAAGCCGCCTCCTCTTCGACGATGGTTGCAACTGAAACTAAAGAAGAACTCCTAAGAGCATTTATAAAGAGTTACATTAGAACATATGAACTAAGGAACCCTGTAGTATGCCTAGTGGCCAAGGTTAGGCAGGTCCAACTCACAACCCCCCATATACCAGTCAAACCTATACCTGACATTACCCCAAGTTCTCACCTTCACGACTACCTAGGAATTTGTTCCACTCATCCACAACGTTATTACCAAACCAATACTCTCCTATATCCTTTATAAATCTAAGTTTTTCCAACTTGAACCCACTGCTGTGAGTCCTGTTTTCATCAAATATTTTTAGCACATTCTTAACATCCCCTTTAGTTATTCCCATTTTCCACTTATACACCTCAATCATATCCTCCCTAATTCTGCCTTTCTAGACAATGCAGATTCAAGGCCCTCAGTCTTTCCTCATAGGAAAGATTTCGGATACATGGGATCAACTCAGTCATCCTTCTCTGTACGTTTTCCAGCATATTTATATCTACTAATGGTGGCCCATGGCTCGGTGGCAAAAACTCTCACTTTACACAGTGAAGGGTCCGGGTTCGATTCCTGGCAAAGAGTGGAAACATTAGGTGTGTTTCCTTACAACGGTCGTCCATGATCATCCATCAGTAATAATGGGTGCCCAGGTGTGTGTTGACTGGTGTGGGTCGCATCCTGGGACAAAACTGACCTAATTTGCCTGAAATGCTCTGCATAACAAGCGGCTTTCTATATAGTAATATGTCATTGATGTCAGCTAGGCCTGTATATGTTGTACATGTACTTGAAGATATTATTATTATTATGATGCTCTAATACAGTGACCAGAACTGTTGTCTTGGTTTTATATTACTGCTAACCAGAACTCCTAATTTTTTTTCACATTTATTTTAAATTTAAAATTTATATTTAATGTTCCTGTTATTAAATTTAAACTAGCATTAACTATATACTGTACATTTGTTTTATCTAACAGCTAGATGAAGTTTTTATGCCATAACAAATGAGCTATCACTATAAAAAATGTATTTATGGTCTTTTAAGTTATTAATACAAAAGCGGGTTACTAGTGCCTTGGTCTTGGAGCTGGTGAGGGAAGGTATGTAGCAAGACAGCTAGTGAATGAATATTTTAGAATGCTGTCATCTGGGTCACTTGGAGCTGGTGAGGGAAGGTATGTAGCAAGACAGCTAGTGAATGAATATTTTAGAATGCTGTCATCTGGGTCACTTGGAGCTGGTGAGGGAGGGTATGTAGCAAGACAGCTAGTGAATGAATATTTTAGAATGCTGTCATCTGGGTCACTTGGAGCTGGTGAGGGAAGGTATGTAGCAAGACAGCTAGTGAATGAATATTTTAGAATGCTGTCATCTGGGTCACCCCACCTCAGCTGTAAGACAGCTAGTGAATGAATATTTTAGAATGCTGTCATCTGGGTCACCCACCTCAGCTGTAAGATGGCCAGTGTATTTTTTTTATTATCACACTTGTACAGTTATTATTCTGAGAGCCACATATGAAAATAGACAAGGAAAGACATTCTTTGTAAAGATTATATTTGAATATTAATAAAAATACATATGAATATCAAGAGGAATGTATTGGAATATTAATAAGCAGGAGATGACAGGTTGACTACACATTAACTAGTAACCCAAATCTTCGATACAGCACCACACAGACAACCACCATTGAAGATGAAGATGAATCCTGAGGTAACAGGTACAGTACTACCATGGATTAAAGCTGGTTTATTTGATTTTTGTTTTTTGCCGGGTGGGGGTGGAGGGAGGGATGAGTGTGACAGCAATGAGTAATTAGTTTTTATGTGAAATATGAAAAACTCAATGAGGTGCCTTACTGAACTTCTCCTTTCAACAAACCGGTCGCAACCTACAGAAGGAAGGTGGCCCAAAAAAGAAAAACGAAAGTTTCTCTTTTGAACTTAGTCATTAAAATAAAACAAATTCAATAGTGATTACTTTGATAAGTACCCATTTTACACTGGATAATTCTACAACAATCTAGGTATTAAGTTGGTAGACAGCAACCCCCCAGGGAGGTACTACCGTCCTGCCAAGTGAGTGTAAAACGGAAGCCTGCAACTGTTTTACATGATGGTAGGATTGCTGGTGTCTTTTTATTCTGTCTCATACACATGCAAGATTTCAGGTACGTCTTCCTACTTCTACTTACACTTAGGTCACACTACACATACATGTACAAACATATATATACACAACCCTCTTGGTTTTCTTCTATTTTCTTTCTAGTTCTTGTTCTTGTTTATTTCCTCTTATCTCCATGGGGAAGTGGAACAGAATTCTTCCTCCGTAAGCCATGCGTGTTGTAAGAGGCGACTGAAATGCCGGGAGCAAGGGGCTAGTAACCTCTTCTCCTGTATTACTAAATGTAAAAGGAGAAACTTTTGTTTTTCCTTTAGGGCCACCCCGCCTCGGTGGAATACAGTCAGTGTGTTGAAGAAAGAATTCTACAACACACACACACACACACAAAAAAAAAAAAAAAAAAAAAAAAAAAAAGAGAGAGAGAGAGAGAGTGAGTGAAGTCAGTAACTATACTGTAAAGTGTAATAGTAATGAAATACAATACCTCATCAATGACGTCCAGTTCAACCTTTCTCTTTTTATTTCCTTCAGAGTGCAAGCTTCCAGATGATCTGAGGGACCTATAGCGAGTGTAATAACCTTGCCTGACAGGTGAACGGACGGATGTTTGTTTGATTAGTTTAACTTCACTCACATCCCGTACTGCATCCTTCTTTGTCATGTCTGGCACAGAGGCGGCATGTCTAGTGGACAATGACTTTCTCAGGGGCAGTTTGGGCTTTAAAGTGTTCACTGGACTCGACTTTTCAGCTGCTGACATTAGTAACTTGGTCTTCTCAAGATTCTTTTGCACTCTCCCCTTCATACTTGCTAAAGGTGCCATAGACTGCCTCCGTGTTTTTCGTACACTGGAAGCTGGAGATGTGCTTATGCGACTTACTGACAGATCTAAACGCTTCATCATTATACTTTGTCTGCGTTTCTGCATTAAAAAAAAAAAAAAAAAAAAAAAAAATTGTAAGATGGCATTTACAAAAAAAACCATTTATATAAAAACTTAAGAGTGTGAGTGAGGGGGGGGGGAGGATGGTGATAGAGGTGCACAAACATAATAAAAAACAAATTAAGATCGTAAAAAACGGAAGATGGGTCTTGGCGGCGTGCGCGAACCTATGTAGTCCCTGATTTTGCAGGTAAAACCTTCACTAAAAATTGTCTTGAGAATAATCAGGAGAAGTAGTGCAAATGGTGGGGCATAGATATGCAACAAGTTGTGCAAATAAGTTAGAGGACATGGGGAATAGCAAGTGATTTGATTGACAGAGTTGTAGTGTGAGCAGGGTAGACAGGTTATGGAAGAAAGATTCAGAGAACAAGTGCAGCTGACTGAGGTCCCTGCCGTCAGAGGTACAGTGCCTATATTCTGAAGGAAGAGATGGAGATGTTGTGGGTCTGAAGTCATCTGAACTGTAACGTCACAAGGTTTCTGGCAAGGCAGTGATTAAATGAGTGATAGTGAAAGGTGAGTTCTTCTTTGTGGGGGCACCCTGAACTCAGTGGGATCACTCTCAGAAAAATAAAAATTACTAATTTTAGTCATAAGAACACTGCTTGCTATGCGTAATATTGAATTAGAAATGGAATGAAGTAAATTAAAGAGAGTGGAAACATCCAAGGAAAAATAAATTTTATTGGAGAGAAAGCAATAAAATGACTTTTTTAAAACATATAATAAACTTGAGCATAGTTTAAATTGTGGTGCTTTGATGTAAGTAGGGTAGATGTGTTAGTAAAATTTGGGTGTTGCTAGAGAAATTATAAGGGCATGAAAATACAATCCAAGGTGACTTTCCGGAGTCTCTAAGGCCTTAATCTGAGCCTGGCAGCAGTAGCAGCAGCGGAGGTTCTTGTACTGATGAATCTGCAATAAATTATACATGAAAGCACACAAACATACACTCACATCTTTTAACCCAAATATTCATACGTTGTCTCTCCAATAGTTCTAAATTTGCTATTCCATGATAAGGAATTGAAGTCCTCATATAAATATGTTCACTAACTTTTTTAACAAGCAGACAACACAGGGTTTCTACATCAAAAACAATTTTCTTCGTAGGGGGGGGTGTAGAAAAATATTATTAGTGAAGTCATATAATGTACTGGAATATTTAAGTTCTTTCTTTCAACACACTGGCTGTATCCCACTCAAGCAGGGTGGGGGGAAAAAAAGTAATATTTAAGTATACTGACCTAAATAACTCATACAGGGTCAAAAGTAATCAATACAAATAATCAGGGGAGGTCCAGACTCTGTATATGGGAGGGAATTAAAAGTGACAATCTGGTTTTTGGGGAGGTATGGGAAGTTGTCTTAAAGATGAGTTATTATCATTACTTTATTTTGGAGAAGGAGGCTGATGAAGAATTTTGGGGTTTCAGCCCCCTTGCTATTGCCACTGTACATAATTCTCGCATTATAATGAAATACAACTTAACCCACAGAGTTCAAAGAAAAAGTCAAGAGTACAGCGTGTGCATTTCACAAAATTAGGGACACTTTATGTAACCAAAGTTTTCATTACACAGAAGAAATAACTATACTGCTATGTATACTGTATAAACACTGGCATATATAATGCAAAGAGCAAGTTAATTTGAGCAGTTTTTCAATAAAAAAGTTCTGCTGGAGCCTTTCTCATTCCTCTTAACTTTCTTTGAATACTAGGAAAAGGTATAAGGAAACGCATCAACAAATTTGGCAAAAATTTATTATCCTGAACGTAACAAATACTTATATCTGTTTGCTAATAGTATAAACAACTATATAACACTATTCTTATCTTAGGTCGTAAGGTTTGCGAGTGAGCAGCAACTTGCCCAGGGAGGTACTACCGTCCTGCCAAGAGTGAGTAAGGCGTGGCTCGGTCGCGTCCTATATGGGGTATACAGTGGACGCCGCCGCATACTTGCATGCAATCACATACCGTACAATTCCTGCATACCGCTCGCTTTTTAAAAATTTTTGGCCTCGCATACCGCCGCAAGGGGAAAACCCGCGGTCACCGTCCTTTCGTGGGGGTCCGAGACGCTCCAAGTGTGCGGCCGTGAGGCCACGGCTCACCGGGATGTTCCGCCGGTGGAAACATTGTTAACCAGCCAGCTCCGCGGGGGTGAGGACATCCAAGCATACCAATTCGACATTTGTATTATTACAGTGTTTTTTGGTGAGTTTTTCTGGAAAATAAGTGACCATGGGCCCAAGAAAGCTTCTAGTGCCACCCTACAGCAATAAGGGTGAGAATTCACTAGGGGTAGAGATGAAGATAAAGATCATGGAAAGTAGAGAAAGTGGAGTGCGGTCTCCCAGAGCTGGCCAGGGTGTAATAATAAATCCCAATCAACCATCGCTACTGGATGAGGTGGTGGTACAGGCCTGCTGCTGGCAGGGAAGCAGCTGCCTGCCTGCTGTTGTACCAACGCAGCTGCTTCTCTGCTTTATACCGTCTGCGCCTTGCTGTATCAATCGTCTGGAAGTGCTTTAGCATCGGTGCTGCTGCTGCGGACAAGCAGTCGGTCTGCTGCTGGGGCTGGTAGCATCGTCTGCGGCTGCTGTAGCCATCGGCGGTTGCTGCTGTAACCACAGTCAGGCTGGAGTGCTGTGGCAGTGCTGAGAGCAGCACCGTGGTTTGGTGTGGCTTATTGAGAATACCAAGAAACAATTAAACCCCAGAGATTTGCCACCCAGATAACCCAAAAAAGTCAGTGTCGTCGAAGACATGTCTAACTTAATTTCCATTGATTGGGGTCCTTAATCTTGTCTCCCCGAGGATGCAACCCACACCAGTCGACTAACACCAGGTACAGGAAAAAATGCCTGAACTAGTGCTCATATTGGTTGAATTTTAAAACCAGCAAAGGTTGGTTGAGAGATTTAGATTCGTAGTGGGCATACACATTGGATAAGGCCTTTTCTGGAAGAAAATGCTAATGCCCAACAGGATCCTACAGTACCAGAGGAAAAGGCACTCCCCAGGAACACAGTGTCCCCTCATCATTCATTGCCTTGCAATCTTCTTCAATAAAAGGTAAGTGTCCATTATTCTTCATTTATTAGAGTAGTACATGCACAATAAATATTGTGCCATGTACTACTCTACTATGTACACACTCAGTATGATCCCTTCTCTTGTGGTTAGAAAAAGTATATTTTCAAAGTGGTAAAAAATTTTTTTTCATACTTTTTGGGGTGTCTTGCACATTAATTTGATTTCCATTAATTGCTTATGGGAAAAATTTGTGCGCATGAGGGGACCGAACATTGCGCAATACAATATCCCTCTTGCAACGATTAAAAGTCGCTATGGCGGGGGTCCATGTAATTGTTTTTACATGATGGTAGGATTGCTGGTGTCCTTTTTGTCTCATGAACATGCAAGATTTCAGGTACGTCTTGCTACTTCTACTTATGCTTAGGTCACACTACACATGCACGTATAAGCACACATATACACACCCCTCTGCGTTGTCTTCTATTTTCTTACTAGTTCTTGTTCTTGTTTATTTCCTCTCATCTCCCTGGGGAAGTGGAACAGAATTCCTCCTCCATAAGTTTGTGGGTGTCATAAGAGGCAACTAACATGCCAGGAGCAAGGGGCTTGTAACCCCTTCTCCTGTATACCTTACTACATTTAAAAAGAGAAACTTTTGTTTTTCTTTTTGAGACACCCAACTTCGGTGGGATATAGCTAGTTTGTTGAAAGAAGATAAATTCTTTATCTTTACATAATCTGTCAGGTTCATCCCCGTCTGCAGTACCATTAACAAAACATTTATTGACCTAGAAACGTATGAAAGAATTATATTTTCAACTTACGTTGCACATTGGATAAAATAAGAACATTCATAAGCCATGCGTGTAGTAAGAAGTGACTAAAATTTCAAGGCATTTATAGATACTTCGTGGTTATGTGACTTTTATAACTTTTAAACCTGTAGCTCAGTTGGTAGCACACTCAGCTCACACACTGAGTGTCTGTGGTTCAATCCCCAGTATGAGTGGAATCAGTGGCCGTTTCCTTAAGACACCTGCTGCCCATGTTCACCTATCAGCAAGTAGGTACCTGGGTGTTAGCCGACTGGTGTGGGTCGCATCCTGAGGGACAAGATTAACCTAAGTTTCCCGAAATGCTCTGCATAACCAGAGACTTTCTATATAATACATGTATGTCAATGATGTCAGTTATGGTCTCTATAAGTCGTATCATGTACTTAAAGAAATAAAGATTATTTCTATTATTCTTAACTGATTATCAATGTTGCCTACCTCCTTGACCCAACAGAAGATTCTGAGAAAGAGAAGTTTGATGCAGGTCTCCATTCATCTGAAGAATTCCTTTTCCTTCCTTTTGAAGGGGACTTTAACCGTCCTACCATGGTTCGCTTGCGTGGTGAGATAGTCATTGCCCTGGGAAGAAAAGCACATTTTTTAAATTAATAAATAATAAAGTTGCTGTTAGTTAAAAACCTTTAATGATTGTAGAAATTTCAGTAGTCTATATCCTTCAAAAGCTAGTACATATTTTTTAATCAAATAAACATCCTCAGAATCAAGGGGTGGTGGGCGTGAATTCTGGAATATGAGAAAATTAAATGAAAAGAACAATGTATAAGAAAGGTAATTACAAAAGAGATTCAAGCCATTTTTGGATTATCCTAGGTTAATTAAAAGAGATTCAAGCCATTTTTGGATTATCCTAGGTTAATTAAAAGAGATTCAAGCCATTTTTGGATTATCCTAGGTAAACTACACGTATGTTGCTGTGGTATGATTACTTACGTAACTATTTATGGTTAACTCTACCTGGGGAAAACTTTACTTTTCTTTTCAAATGTGATTATAAGACATGTGCAATTTTAAGTGAGAATGATACGAGTAAAGAATGGTGATAATGGTGGAGGGAGGAGAATATGATAAGGTGGTGGAGGAGTGGGGGGGGGGGGATTGTTTGGCGGAGGTGATGAGTGATGATAATGCGAGGTGAGGAGTGATGATAAATGGCAGAGGTGAGGAGAACGATGATAATGGCAGAGGTGAGGAGAACGATGATAATGGCGGAGGTGAGGAGAACGATGATAATGGTGAAGGTGAGGAGAATGATATAATGGCAAGAGGTGAGGAGACAAATAATAATGGTGGAGGTGAGGAGAACAATGATAATGGTGGACATGAGAACGATGATAATGGTGGACATGAGGAGAACAATGATAATTGTGGTGATGAGAATGATGATAATGGTGAAGTGGTGTGGTGATAATGGTGGGGTGAGGAGTGGTGATAATAGAAGAAGTGAGGAGTGGTGATAATAGAAAAAGTGAGGAGTGGTGATAATGATGGAGGTGAGGATTATTATGATGATCAAGGGGAAGTGCTAAACCCATAGGATTATACAATGCCTGTGGGGGGAAGGTTGCAAAAGGTATTCAGGCTTAATTCAGGTAACTGGAGCACAGATTCAATTCCCTAGACCAAGAGCCCCTCACCAGCATCAAGGTACCTTCCTTAGAGGGGTGTGGAGGTGAGAGTGGTGATTAATGGGTGGAGGAAACAGATGGGAGAGGTGGGGGGAGTGGGGCGAGAGGCGGAGGTTGGTTGCGGGGGGTGGGGGTAAGGTGGGGGGATGTGGTAATAATAGGGGAGGGTCGGAAGTGTAATGAATGGCGGAGGTACGGAGCGGTGAAAATGGGGAGGTATGGGAGTGGGTGATAATGGTGGAGGTACAGTGGGCGGTATGGTGGAGGTTACTGAGTAGCGTAAGGTGGAGGGGTACAGAGTGGCAAACAATGGTGGAGGTACGGAGTGGTGATATGGTGGAGAATATATTGGTGATAATGTGGAGTACTAAGAGTGGTAATAATGGTGGAAGGGTACAGTGGTAAAAATGGTGGAGGTATGGAGTGGGTGATAATGGTGGAGGTACTGAGTGGCGAATAATGGTGGAGTACTGAGTGGTGATATGGGTTGAGTGGAGAGGGCGTGTGGGAGTGGGTGGTAAATGGGGGAAGTTCAGGGAGAGGTATTAATGTGATATAGTGCGGAGTGGGGTTTATTGGGGGATGGTGGGAGTGGTGATTAGGCGGGTGTTAGGTGTGGATAATGCCGGGTGGTTAAGATGAGGGGTATAGGGTGGAGGTTCGATGTGGGTTTTATATAGTGGATGGTAATGAGTTGGTTATTAATGTGAGGTAGGAGTGGGTTGTATGGTGGTGGTTAGGGGTATGGATGGGGGGTGTTGGGGGGGGGTGGTTGGGTTATATATGGTATTGTGAGGTGGGGTTTTTATGGTGGGGGTTGTGTGGTTTGTAGGGTGATATGTGGGGGTTGTTGGGGGTGGGGTTGTGGGGTTTGTTGGGGGGTGTTGTGGGGTTAGTTTGGGGGTGGGGATTGTGGGGTTGTATGGGGGTGGGGTTGTGGGTGTTGGGTGGTGGGTGGTGGGGGTTGTTGGGGTGGTGGGGTTTTGGGGTTGTTGGGGGGTGGGGGTTGTGGGGTGTTGGGGGGTGTGGTTGTGGGGTTGTGGGGTGGGGTTGTGGTTGTTGGGGGGTGGGGGTTGTGGGGTTGTTGGGGGTGGGGGTTGTGGGGGTTTTGGGGGGGGGGGGGTTTGGGGGGTTTTTGGGGGTGGGGTTTGTGGGGTTGTTGGGGGGGTTTGGGGGGTTTGTTGGGGGGTGGGGTTTGGGGGTTGTTGGGGGTGGGTGGGGGTGTTGGGGGGGGTGGGTTGTTGGTTGTGGGGGTGGGTTGGTGGGGTTGTTGGGGGGTGGGGGTTGTTGGGTTGTTGGGGGGTGGGGTTTGGGGGTTTTGGTGTGGTTGTCTATATATCTCTCTCTATATGTGGTGGGAATTGGGGGGTAATTTGGGTGAGGTGGTGGGGGTGTTTTTGGGGAATTTTATTTATGGGGGGGGGTGGGGGTGGGGATGTGTGGAGGTTATGTGTGAAGATGTGGTTGAATGGTGAGTGATAGTGTGTTTTTTGGGGGGTGTGGATATTGGTAATTTGGGTGGTGTGATGTGTGTTTAATGGGGAGTGAAATGGTATTAATTGGGGTGGTGTTGTGTGGTATTATTGGTGGTGTGTGGGAGTGGGAGATATTGGTGGAGGTGAAGAGTGTAATAATGTGGAGGTGAGAGTGGTAATAATGGTGGAGTGAGTAGAGTGTGAATAATGGTGGAGGTGAAGAGTGTAAGTAATGTGTGGTGAAGTTTGGGAATTTGGGTGGAGGGATGAGGTAATAAGGGTGAGGTGAGTGGTTAATTATGGTGGAGGATGATGGGTATTATGGGGGTGTTGAGTGATTGTTTGGGGGTGGGGTTGAGTGTAGGTTGGTGTTAGTGAAGTGGGTATTTTTGGGTGGGAGGTGAAGAGTGTATGTCTTGGTGGTGTTGTGGGATGTTGGGTGGTTGTTGTGGTTTGTGGGAAGGGTGGTGAGGTTTTTGGGGTTTAGGTGGTTGGTTGTGGGGGGTTTGTATGGGGGTGTGAAGTGGGGTTTTATTGGTGGTGGAGTTGTGGGGGATTTTGGGTGGTGGTGTAGTGGGGTTAGTTGGGGGTGGTGTGGTTGGTTGTGGGTGGGTGTGAGGGAGTGGGTGAGAGTGGGGGGGGGGTGTTGTGTTTTGGGTGGGTTGTGGGGGTTTTTGGGGGGTGTGTTTGGGGGTTTGATGGGGGGTGTTTGGGTGGTAATTGGTTGTTGTGGTTGTTGGGGGTGTGTTTTTGGGGTTGTTGGGGGGTGGGTTGGGGGTTGTTGGGGTGTGTTTGGTGTTGGGTGTTGTGGGGGTTGTTGGGGTGGGGGGTTGTTTTTTGGGTGGGTTGTGGGGGTTGTTGGGGTTGGGTTGTTGGGTGGTTGTGGGGTTGTTGGGGTTGTGGGTTGTTGGTGTATTGTGGGGTTGTTGGGTTGCGGGGGGTTGTATTGGTGGGTTGGTGATTGTTTGGGGTGGTTTGGGTTGTTGGGGTGGGTTTGGTTGGGGGGGGTGGTTGTGGGTTTTGGGGTTTGGGGGTTGTTGTGAGGTGTGAGTTGTTGGGGTTATGTGGGTTGATGGGGGGGTTGTGGGTTGTTGGGTGGTTTGTTTTGGGGGTTTGGGGGTGTTGGGGGTTGTGGGGTTGTTGGGGGGTTGTGGTGTTGGGGGGGGGGTGGGTTTGGGTTGTTTGGGTTTGGTGTTTTGGGGGTGGGTAGTTTGGGTGGGTTTGGGGGTTGTTGGGTGTTTGTGTGGGGTTGTTGGGGGGGAGGTGTTGTTGGGGTTGTTGGGTTGGGTTTGGGTGTTGGGTGGGTTGTGTGGTTGTTGGGGGGTGGGGGTTGAGGTTTGTTGGGGTTGTGGGTTTTTGGGGTTGTTGATTATTTTGTGTGGGTTGTGGGGTTGATGGGGTGGGTTTGTTTTTTGGGTGATGAAGAGTGGTAATAATGGTGGAGGTAAGATGGTAATTAATTGGTGGGTAATTAGTGGTAATAAGGGTGAGGTGAAGAGTGTAACATTGGTGGTGAAGAGTGGTAAAATGGTGAGTGATGTAATAATGGTGGGAGGTGGAAAGTGGTAAATAATGGTAGTGAAAGTGTAATAATGGAAAGTGAAGAGTGGTAATAATGGTGAATAAGAGTGGTAATAATGTGGAGGTGAAGATGGTAATAATGGTGAGGTGAAGAGTGTAATAAGGTGGAGGTTGAAGAGTGTACCAAAAGGAGGCGGTTGCGAGGTAATAATGGGAGGTGAAGAGAGGAAAACATGTTGGAGGTGAAGAGAGGTATCATAGGTTGAGAGAATAGTGGTCAAAAATGGATGCGTCATAATCTATTACCAACATTATCTTATCCTCTATTACCACCATGATGCGTATCCGCTAGTTACCACCATGTATCGTATCCTCTAGACCCCAGGAGGATCAGCCGCTAGGCCACCAGGAAGCTGAGCCGCGATGACCACCCAGTATCTTTATCCTCATTACCACCATTATTCTTTTCCTCTATTACCACCATTATTCTTATCTTCTATTACCACCATGATTTCTCATCCCTATACCACCATTATTCTTATCCTCTATTACCACCGATATTCTGTCCGTGGGGGGGGGGGGAGGGGGGGGGTGAGGGGGGGGGGGGGAAGGGGAGGGGGGGGTGGATGTGTGTTACCTAATTATCCTCTATACCCACCATTTTCTTTATCCTCTATTGTCCCACCATTATTTATCCTCTATTACCACCATTAGTCTTATTCTATTACCACCATTATTCTATCCTCTATTACCACCATTATTCTTATCCGATTACCACCATTATTCGTAGTCCCTCTATTCCCACATTATTATCCTCCTATTACCACCATTATCTTATCCTCGACATTACCACCATTATCTGACCTCTATTACCACCATTAATTCTTATCCATCTACATTACCACCATTAGTCGTAGCCTCCCTTACACCTTTATCT